AGCCCAGTGAGTAATACCAAAATAAAGAGGTTCATGAATGGTGTCCACCACATTATGTAAACATGACTTACAATTGCGAAATATATATCTTAAATTATTTCCATCATTTTATAACAAACACTTATCAAAATCTGTTCATATACAAATAGTCCGAAGGTGTATCAAATGGACCACAAGGGTCCAGCAATGGGTCGGGATCACATTTCAAAAAGGGACATCCATTCATTCATATAAAATAACATTTCATAAACATGAGTCATATGATAATTTACAAACATCCATATTCACACTTACGGAACGGCCTCGGGCCCAACATATTAACAGCTGTTCTGAACATCATAGGGTAGATGAAACATCGACATGTCTCCATCTCCCTCGGCCTTAGGGCCAGGTGCCCCATATCAGACATAACGGCCTCGAGCCCATCATACATAATATAAATGGAACAACCTCGGGTCCATTTCATACACCATAGAGTAAATGGAACATCGACATGTCTCCATCTCTCACATAGAACGGAACGGCCTTAGGCCCATGATTCATAAGCGATCCATAGCAAACATAATGGCCTCAGGCCCAATATATAGCAGAACGGCCTTAGGCCCACATTTATATAACAATTTAGTTCGTGAAATTCACTCATGTCAAATAAATACAATCTTCAGAAAATATAACAATTATGAATAGTTAAATAAATAAATAGAACATATCTTTATAGAGGTATTACTCACTGTGGTTTCCAGAAATGGTTGACCGGTCCTTGAATCTTGACCTGTAATCACAATACGCATGGCACAACATATCGAAACATAGAATTACTCTCTTGATCAAATTTAATTCTCTTAATCTTTTCTTAACCACATAAACCAATCCCTTACTTTGCTTCTTAACCAATTATTTATGTTGGTTCTAAACTCATTAGTCCTCAATGGGTCATAATCTGTGTCTAGGAAAATAGGAAGAAACGAAAGGAAACTGGGTTAGGAGAGGAAATAGCATGAAACGGTTAGAAAGAAAGTGAACAGCCTTCACTAATTTGAACATGTCTATTTTTTTCACTTAGAATTTGGATGTGAGACCACCACCATTGAAAACTGAACTTCTGGGGCTTGAATTTAGGCTCAATAATCACTTAAAACGAAGTTCGAATGAGGGAGATATACTTATTTGAAGTTACCTGGCATAAGCTAAAATAGGGCTGGCCGCACGTGCACCCACTTTGACCGCTCGTGCGGTAACTGGGCTGCTCAAGTGATGGCCTTGAAGCTCGAGTGGTGGTTTAAGAAGAATGCAATTCCTAGTTCTTGTTCATGTTTCGCTCATGCGGAGCCCGTGGCCGCTCGTGCAGTCTGGGCAAAATCAGACAGTCCAAAAATTCATCAAAGATTGAGTTTTCAAACCCAATTTCAAGCCTAGATCTCATGTAATCTTCCTTTAAAACATGATAACCCAACATATTTCTAGGGTAATTCAAGCTCAATTGCCTCAACTTGCTTTGATTGCAAAATCAAAATATTAACTTCCGTGAATTCAAAGTTTTCAGCATAAAGTTTCATTTTCATGTAAATTCATGGTTGGATTTCTTTACTCAACTAGTTCCATGTAAATCTAGAGTCCATCTCATGTTTATTTTTTCATATTAAACTCAAATCAAACAAACTCAAAAAGAAATAAGGTTCTATTAACTCCAGGAACCCATAACTCAAAACCCTAGCTTATTAAGTGTTTAAGCTTCAGATTTCCTCTTGATTTCATGCAATAGATGAAGTATCTACAAAGATTATAGTTGAATTCACATACATTAGCTCAAATCTTTGAATTTCCCCATTGAATCTCTTCAATCTCCAAGCCTTCCTTCTACAATTCTAGAACTCTCTTCTTTCTCTCCCTCCCTCTTGTTTCTATCTCTCCAGGAGATATTTTTTAGCCTAAACAACTAAGGCTGTCATATATACATACATAAGTTAAGCTAATTTGCTTAGGTTAGCTTAATCTAAGGTTTATGTTAAGTAAACTCAATTAATTCATTACGAATTATAAATTTGCCAAATTTCACTACAGGCTCTAAAAATCATGCTAAACACATATATGAAATCGGCTTTGGTTTATCGCACCTTTAAGGCTTTCAGTTTTTAGTTTAAAGCTATAAGTTCAACAGATTTTTCTACAATCAACAGATATAACTTCAAATCCTTATAATTCACATCCTTAGACATGCAATTCGACAACAACAACATAATTACCCTAATGACTAATCACAA